AATCGCCAAGCAGGAGGGCCACCCATTTTTCACGTCCAAAGCTACAGACAGTGAGGAAAATGTAAGAGACGACTGTAAGCTACTTTGAGACACAAATATAAACATACAACTCAAAAGCTCTGGGGTGATCAAGCTCGACTCGAAACTAGCCAGAGTCCTGGAATACTCTAAAATCATTATTGAACGGACATCGACGATTGACATTGATCGCAAGTCAGTATGGGTCCACAAGTAAATGTAGGTGGAATTCTCAAACCAACATTCAGAAAGCTAAGTCGAAATAGCTGTACGGCAGCGCTTATTGTGGTCGCAAGCTTCGAGAAGAACAAGACGAAATTAAGAGAAGAATGAAGGCTTTTCAAAGCCAAAGACCAGTGAAGACAGAGGCTGCAGGTGTCAAACGGCCAATAAAGAAATGGCTAGGTGTGGTGCTGAAGAAATTGGGTTGGAAGGGAAAGCGGGAGTAGGAACAGGAGTGGGAGGAATAGTGTGGTGAGTATCTGCATCTTTGCTCGGTTTATGATGAATACTTACGTTTACCAGGAGTCAGATGTAAACATGAAGTGCGGGTTGCAGTTGTGTGGTAGTTGTAGCACTGCGCGCTGCCTGTAGACACGGAATTAATGTTCAAAATATAACCCCCCTGAAAGCCCCCTCGATCGAAATATAATCGAAGTTACCAACCCGAACTTACACTAGTACCAGCACCCTTAACTGAACTTGCAGTGGTGGCAGCAGATCCCAATGTCAAGTAAGGTGGAACCAAGCCTATCGTGCGCAGACTCTGGTACAGGGTAATGGGCCATGCTCGACCGCAGATTGGTGCATCATCGGTATGCTCAAATTGTCGAGATGATCCTAACAAGCCATTTCTCACTGTCCAAAAGTGACCTCTTCATACGCGCATTGAGGCTTGGTCACTGAAGCACTGTGGTAGTAAATTGCCAATCTCCCAATTAGTGTGAGTCTTACAAAGATGAAGACAAGGTAGCTGGTGCTTACAAATATGTGGTTAGTAGAAGGAGTGAGCTTGAAGAGTGAAGTCGGGTAGTTGGTTAGGGGCAGGAGATAGGGGTAAGACACGTGAGAAGTTCAAACAGGTTAAAAATAGATGGCAAAGAATAGTTTACGATTGAAATGGTAATATGAGAAGATGCCAGGCAGCCAGAATAAAGGTAGCATAACAAGGAACACAAAATTGAGCAGGGAAAGCACATCACAAATCGTAGGTAGTAGGAACATCATCGACGTCATCGCACTCCTCCTCTGCGATAGCCCTGAGAAGAGTATCGCATACATCACCTGTAATTTCACTGCTGGAAAATGTCAAAAGATTGTGAGTTTCGTCTCCTTTGCCCAACATCTTATACTCCATATCCTTTTGCGACGCTGCCCAACCTTTCATAAAGTCAAGTCGCTCTTTTTTCAGGAGGAACTTTACCACCTGCAGGGCCTCCATCAAGACCGGGCTCATGCGATTATGTTTCTTCGTGTCGGTTTCACCACTGGACGAAAATACCCGCTCACACGGAACGGCAGAGGCCTGTATTGGGAGATAGTCCATTGCAATACCATAAATTGTCGGAAATAAGGTCTGCAAGACCTGGTCAACATGGTCAATGATGAAGATTCAACTTGTAGGGATGTGGGACGCTCACCACCCAGAATGCGAGTATATTTGTTCCCTTGGGGCTAAGATTAGCCGTAGTGTAGGCCTTGAACTCTTGCTCGACCGTTTGGGCATCGCCATTGTGATGTGGCAAGATGACAACATCAGGAAGTCCATAAAGGCGCGAGCCTAGCGTGCGCGGTGGTTGATGAGGCATTGCTCCATTAGCTAGAGGCTCTGCAGATGCTGAGCCATCTGTAGTTCACTTTTCACGCATCTACGTGTGATAATATCAGTTCAAATTTGCATTGTTATGTGTTTGATAAATGTACCAGATCAATTATATGTTTCTCCACATCTTTGACAGTCTGTTCCTCCCAATGACTCCGAGCCCATGACATTCAGATTGCAGGATCAACAACTATAAATGCAATCGTGAGCAACCAAACATTGCTAAAAGATACCGTACTCATGCATGCTGACTGCATAGGCTTTTGTAGCACCCATCTTCTCGTCGTACTTATCTGCCCAAGTCAAACCTATCCGAACGAGAGGCTCGCAGTGTGGGACGTGTTTCACCAAAAACTTCCACTGCTCGATCAATGTTTCGAATGCTGGATATGCACCACTCAGGCTGGGAGTGTGTTCACTTGACATGCATTGTTGGGCAGCATGGGGCACCTAATACAAAATGATGAAATGAAAGATGAGTTTCAAATATGATAAAACTTACTTCCAGGATTACTTCGACATCCTGTAGAAACTGCCACTCCATCGGACTCAATTTAAACTTGTTGATGGGGCATTGAGTGGGAGAGTCAAAGAATAAATCTATTGCCTGGGCGACTATCAGTTTATGGCAGATGTTTAGTAAGTAATGCCTTACCTGGCGAAGGGTTCGTAAACGATTGAGCATTATGTAGACCGAATCCCAACGGGTTGCCTCATCAAGCAGGAGTTCAACAATGGGGAGCTACAGTTTCTCACCTATGTCGTCTTGAAACCACTCCTTCTCATTACCAGTGATAATAGTGTCCCTGAAGGAGTTGTGTCGCTGGTTCGATGCACGAAGTGTGCGCACAGCGTCCCTAGCTCTGTTGAGAGCTTTCCCTGTCACAGCTTTGACATACTCCACCTTGATCACAGTGCGATTACCGATTAGCCAATGTTCATCCACGAGCAAAAAGTCAGGTTTGTGATAATCATCGATAATGTGTTTCACACATATATTGATGATGTGAGGAAAACACGGTATTCTGCGGTCGATGGGGTGGAAATCAATCTCACGAGACTCCAGTTTCTGCGAAAGTTCTCGCATAGCAACCTGATTGTTTGCAGCGTTGTCCAAGGTGAAATGACCAGTCTAAACAAAGTTAGAGCATGTTACATGGTACGGTTAAATGCTGACCTTTTCGGTCACACCGGCGCGATCAAGGAGATGCAATATTATCAATGCTAACAATTCACCTGTATGACTTCCTGGAACGTGGTGGAAGCCTATTAGTGCTGCCCTCAAAATGAGTGTTGAACTCCGGTCTGCCCTAGCAATCCAGTGGGTGGTAAGGGCCATGAATGGGCGAAGGTTTGAATCTGACCAGAGGTCAGATGTGAATGAGACTTTTCCCTGGGCGGCCTGAAAACATAAGGCATTTGTAGGGCTCTGGACAACTGTAGACCTACCGCAAGATTCCTCTTCAAAGCATTGAAGTACTCATGGAATGCATCAATGATCAATTCACGAGCTTTAGTACGATGGAATATATCGGTCTCATTGACCGATGGTCGCAGAAGACAGATCAGGCAGCGAAATTCCGGGCATTCAATAATATTGATTGCCTGAAGACAATTATCAACCATAGCACATAGAAAGTGCGAATCAACTCACCTGGTCGTCAGCAATAATGAATTTCACAATGTGTTTGTGCATCTCGTCCAAAGTGAACGCAGGCAATACATCATCTGGAGCTGACATGCTGGTTCCAGGGTGTGAGCCAGGACTGGGGGGAGTACCGAGTGAGTCTAGCGTGTAAGCCGGATCCTTCAGCCTTTGACGCATGGTCGCGATCATCCAGCCTTCATCCAGAAAAGTCTTCAATTGCAATGATTTATGGAGGACATGCCAGTGCTGGCGCTCTGCCTCCTCCAAGTAAATGTCAGTATGCTCAGTGAAGGCGTGTGCACAATGAGTTGACGTGCTTGTACTAGAAATGTATGATGCAATATGGTAAGTATCATCAAGATCGTGAATTTTTCTGGCGAAGGATGTCAGAAAAAAAGATAGACTTCAGACAAGATACTCACTCGCAGGCTTTGCAGATATTGCAATGAGTGGTAGGGTCCTGTCTGAAGAAGAAGTGAATATCGGCAGAGGATTTAGGCGGTTTTACTCGGCCACCAGTGGCCAGAGGGTCGGTTATAGCAGTAGTCATGGCCGTATTCATAGCGGTCTGCAGTGGGCTATGGCTTGCAGCAGGTCTAACTGCGGGTGCAGGTGAGACAACCACTTCATCTTCTTCATCCCCAGAGACGTTCTCAAGGTCGAAGAATTCCCCTTCATCTCCATCGTCCTGCCTAAATCTGAGAGGAAGCTGACGGTGCCTTTGAGGATTACGAAGGATAGTTGCATTCACTGCAGCAGCGATGGGAGCAACAGCAGGAGTGGGAGCAACAGGAACAGGTGCAACAGGAGCAGTGACAGGGATAGGAGAAACAGGTGTAGCAATGGGAGTAGCACCAATGGCTCTGGCAGCAACACAGGAATTGTTCTTGCGTCGAGGAGGCATATTGGTGGTACTGGCGGTGAAGATGATCTAATATATCTTCGTCTGGGGAAACCCCAGAACATGCTGATGCTGTAGTGATCCTAAGTCCCTGATGGAAAAGCCCCAAGAACAATTAGCATGAGACTCACAACTCACAACTCACAACTCATGAATGCTTCACGCAAGGCTCGGCACTGAGTAACCGATCGATTGATTCCTGACTCCCAAACCACAAGCGAAATGAGAGCAGCACGTTGGCACAACCCTTTCAACTTCAAGTATGATTGAATGGTTGAGTGAATCGAAAGTCAGGTCGTCAATAAGTATTCGTTGAGTCATTATTATGTTGTAAACTGGAGATTCTGATGGTTGAGAAAGTCGCCATGGGTGCCCTCATGAGTCATGAGTTGTGAAGGGTGTTGCGTGGGAATTGGAGAAAACTTCATATTAATGGAAGGTGCTGCGCTATTATTACGTCGCATACCATGTACAAATAATAAATAATGCTGCAGTGTACACTAGTGTACAGGTATTCAACAGCGTCACGATCTAGTGACTAGTCTTTTTACGGCATGGAGTGGAAGTAGTTACATCCAATGGGAGGCCATTACACGGGCATAAACTTGCAATTACATTAGTTCATAAAGTGGGAACATAAGCGCACTACTCACATGCGAGTTGATCTGCAAGGCAGCGGGCATGGAGACACTGCCTTGATTACCCAGGATTCACTGGAAGATGGAGTGATAACAGGTACATCAGGTTGGTTTAAACCCAGCATGCACGCAGTTGGTGCAGAACAAAGGACACGAAGCAACGAATGAAGGTGATTATAATCAGGACCTTCTGAAAATGCGAGAGAGCGCGTATAAATGAGAATCGTTGCGAATTCGACAGGAATGCCACGGTACAAATTTTCGATGGTTGTGTCTACTTTGCGCTCGAGTATGGAAGAGCTGGAAAGTTTTTCTTCATCACTGGTTAACCATGGAAGGGAGCCCTGCAAGAAGTATATCAACATGTAAGTAAGCGACTCGAGATTGTCACAACGACCTGGTTCAACTCCTAAGTGTGTATTGATAGAAGCAAATGCTGGAGTGCCAGTGAGATGTTGGCCTTGGCAAAATGGTATATGGAGACTGGTCGCTGTGTTCCAGAATTCCTTCGCAATACCAAAATCTATAATAAAGGCAGTGTCTTTCAAATCGCCAAGCCCCACAACAACATTCTGTGGTTTAATATCACCATGAACATAATTATGTGAGTGGATATATTCGAGACGTGAAAGCTGGGAAAAGGATTAGTGATATGCAAATGCGACAGCCTACACACCGACTGACTAACTGGTCTCCTATATTTACAACCGTGTCAAGGCTGAATTTTCGGTTATGGGTGAGGAAGAGATTGTGAAGTGATGGCCCAAGGAGGTCAAGAACGAGAGCATGATACGTTGATTCCCTACCGAACCAAATGACACGGGGAATACCAACACCGCCTTCAAGGTGTTTCAGAATATTGTATTCGTGCTGCACAGAAGATGAGTGGGTGATGGGTTCCAGTTTAACAGCAACTGCAACATCCTTGATGATGTTCCATGCACGATACACGACAGCTAAATAGGGTCCAAATGTTGAATCAGAATCAATATGTAGCCAGTACTTACCATGTGGATAACATACCATATGAACCAGATCCCAAAATGTCTCCTAACCTAAACCTTCCATCAACTCGAACAGGGACCTTATCCATGGTGTATACAATAGTAGAAAAATATAACAACACTGAGAGTCTGAGACAATGAGACACGACAAGAAAGGCACCCAACTGCCACGTTTGTATGTCAGCTTGAACTGGCTTAAGCTGGCTTAAAGCGGTTCAAACCGTGGTTCATAGATTTTTGGCTTATGAAAGTTGCAACTGATTCACACGGCTAATGAGTCGAACCGAGTGATGAATCAATGGTTTGGCTCACAGGGATTGCCGAACCTCTGGCATAGCCATAAATACCGAACCAGAGCAAACCATAGCCAAGCTGTGGCACTACTAGCTACTGTGCCTAAAAAGTGCTATATAGCTGTCGCCCGGGCTACAGCATTTTGGGTTTTTTCCTGATGCTACTCGTTCCCTTTCGGTGTCCTGGTGTCATTAGGGATCAGCAGGGGTATGGGCAACCCCTGGGGGTCGGGGGTAAGGGTACTTGAGGGTAGGGGTATGGGTTTGGATCTGGAGACCCCTGTACCCCCGGACAATTGGTAGTACCCCTGGGCCTAGGGATAATATATCCCCAAATTGATTATCATAGGAGTGATGGATAAGTATAAAATTTTGAAGTTATCAACAGTATAATGGTTATTGGGCTTATTGTGATCTTATATTGTGAGTTGGCTATTATTTGAGTAAGATATAAGTAAAATATAATCAAAGGAAACATTTAAGTTAGTTTAGATGGTTCATAATGTACAAGAGTTACTTGCCCATGGTTTGAGTCTCATCTACATACTTGGCTAGGACTAAAGAGGCATAAATTAAAGTCAGCCTACTATGTCTCTTCTAGCCAAGATGGTGACAATACCCCTGTACCCTTGTGATACCCTTGTACCCTTATAATACCCCTGGGTTACCCTTACCCTTGGTCTGAGGGGTAAGACCCTCCAGGGGTAGGGGTGTGGGTTGGGCTCATGATACCCAGGGGTTTACCCCTGGTGATCCCTAGGTGTCGTCCGCGAGCATTCGCGCCACATCAGCACTTGCTGGTGTGCGTTGGGTGTTTGCGCATGGTGCTGGTGGAATTGGATGCGCTAAGCGGGAGGATGCTGAAGGTAGCAAGAGGGCGCTGAACTTGTCAACTTGATGGTGCGCAAACAAGACGCGCCCACTTGAAAAGTTCATCGGCTTTCACAGCTAGACTTGTAAACTCTTTGTCATGAAAATCTTGTAGCCCCTTCAGCTCCTCAGATACGAACATGTGGATGTCGCGCTCTGCCATTGTTGCGAGAATCTTGTCCATGGACAACCGTAGAATATGCTGAGCGCTGTGAAATCCATCTTCAATGTCATGAAGTGGGCGAGAGGTAACGAGAATCCGAAAGTTAGATGGAAGTTCTGTGATTTGGGGAAGTCCTCTGTCCTGAAGTCTACCAGAAAGGATGTGGAGGAGGCTGCACCGCGTCTCCTTTCCTGGTTAGGTCATTGTCTGGCACGGAGAAACTGGTGAATCACTCACCAAAATCGAAGAAGGTACATACTACAGTATCGAAAGTAGTATAATGATCGGTTCGGGGTTCGGAACGGTTCGGGACCCGTCCGAACCGAAGCCGAACCATTCGTCCAATGCCAGAACCGAGAACCGTACTACGGTCCGGTTCTGGCTGACACCTGGACCGTGGACCGAACCACAGGGGAACCGGACCAAAAGTCCGGTTCGAACCATGGTTCAGGACCGGACCACGGCAGCACTACTTGCAGCCAGTGAACAGGTCAAGTTGCAAGGAGGATTCATGAATGGAGTTTGACATCAGTCGTTGCATCATCCTATCATCTGTCAGACAATCTTAGACAGCCTATCAACTTTGTGTATGTAATTGCTCGGTGACTATTTTGATTTGGTTCTGGAAGTAAAATGTTGTGAAGTGAAACAATGCAACGCAGAAATTATTCATCTACAGGACCTTTCACGCTCGACAGAAGTTCGACGCTTTCCGTAATATCTTCTGGTCCAAGGGGGAAATAGTATGGAATGAATTTTCTGGTTGCAGCCTCGTGAATGAAGACCCGCGCAAGCGCATTATTGCCACGCACTCGTATATCTTTTGATCGCCGTCCCTCCCGGTGAAAATGACAAATACTACGTGGTCCAACTGAAAGTTCATAGTTATGGTCATCCAAAAGTCACGAAGGGGCTCCCAGTCACCTGGTTATTTCCTTCCAAGAAAATTCGTGTCTCCTTGAGAGCAACGTGAGCTGCCTCGCCGATGGGGTATCCATAGATGCCAGTTGAAATCAGGGGAAAGGCCTGCATGCCAATTAGAGTCGCACGATGACATCGCCTGCCAGAATGAAGAATTGTTGATGGCTTACGATGCTCTTGCAGTTGTTGTCTACCGCTAACTGAAGACTCTTTCTATAGCAAGACGCAAGCTGACTAGCCATTGTCTCTGTGTCTGAAGAAACACTCCATCTTGGTCCTACAGTATGGATAACGTGTTTCCTGACGTGTAGAATATTGGAATAAAGTCAGCAGAGCAACCGGCAAAGACGGTACACTTACGATGGGAGCTGAAAACCCGGAGTAATTTTAGCGTCACCAGTTGGGCAGGGGTGACGCCCAGGGTACAATTCTCTGCCTATATCAAGTGAACAGGATAGTGTGAGATTGTGACCAGCGCCCTGAAGAGGAGTAGATCGTACATGCTTTGGCGAGTGCTGGGCCAGCAGCCATATGGATCGCCCCATCCACTAAACCTTGTGAGTTTGATATGACGATCACACTTAGGAGCTCGACAGACCTCCGCTGCCGCCTACGGTTGGTTCACATATGTCAGCAGCTGAGCGCTGACTCGTTGTATACTATGGGCCACGTCATGACTCACCCTGCAATGTCGATTTTGCAGCGTTGACGATCGCATCCACCTCGATTTCAGTTATGTCACCCTGACTTATACGAGAGTTAGAAGAGAGGAATTAAGGAGTGCACAGTGATCACTGGCTAACTAGAGATGTACACGACTCAGAAGCGATTGCTTGGGTGGATAAATGGGCGTTTCGACGTCTTTAATAGCAGCATTCGCGAATAGTTCGCCCACAGTGCGAATACTTTGCGGCTGAATTCGAGTGGACATTAAATAATTTGGAAAGTTCACAGTAAGGGGATGAGTGTTGATGAGGTTAGATTCAGGGGAGTTTACTCAGCGACAATCTATAATTATTGGCACGGCCCAAGACAAGGACTCCGCCCAAGTAAGATCGAAAAAAGTGCTTTTCTTATGGTTTCTTGTACAAGTCAAGTGCAAAAAGAGTGAATCTAACACCTATAATGGATGTTGAACGGATACAAGCTTATCGTTTATGAAGGTAGATACACCAGCTAGAACGCTGCTAGCAATGATACTACATAAATGCCACAGTGCGAGCAAGGAAGTGTGAATATGTGCATAAATTGGCTAATGCGAAAGACTCCAGGAGATATAGATAATATGAATGCTTCAGTTAGAAAATACAACATTAAGTGCACAATGGGCATCTGAGAAGTCGAATACATATGAGATGCAATCCAGGTAGCGAGAGCTAAGGACGGACCGTTAATATTAAGGTAATAAAAACAGCCATATGCTAAAGAGGTATGGACATATGCTGGTGCCAAGTGGTATCCAAGGCTGGAGAACCGGCTTGGGATCTGTCTCCCATGGTCGTGGTTGGAACAAGGGTGTTTGATATTGACTGAACAACCGGAATTTGGTCGGATTCTAAGCTCCGTACGACGGTGGTTATGGGCTCGTTATGAGGGTAATACGACCTGCGCTTGGTGGACATAAAGTCATAAACGGTGAATCTAGTGACGAAACGAGTTAAAACTATTATGAAAACCCGTATGGCGAACCTACTGCTCTTCCAACTGCCTCACTTCCGGCTTCATTTTGGCTAAATCCGGGTTTGCCCTGCGTTTTGTGTGGGTCAGTGGTTTTTCAACCATTAGGAACTCATCGAGTTCGTGAGTTACGTCAAAATTAGCTTTCTTCATCTGCATGAGGAATGAATATGAAATCGATTAACAATTCATAATACTCACGTCTGGAACGAAAGGAGGCTGAGCTGCTTTCGTATCCGTACTTTGCCAATTTATACCCTGCAGCCATGCATGCTTTTGAATGTCTTGGAAGCCTTGACCATGTGGTCGGCAACCTAGACGTTGGCTAACATTACGTTCGAGTAACTGCGACCAGATTAAGAAAAGGACGGATGCTAACGAGTGTCGGCACTTACTGCTTGCACAAACTTCACGCAGTTTGAACTGCATTTCTTATGGGCATCATCGGGAAACCTCAGGGGATCTTTGAGGATGGAGTTGGTCATCTTCTCAGATGTGCGTCCATCGAATGGACGTCGTCGGAACAACAACTCATAGATTGTAATACCGAAACTCCACCAGTCGACACACCATGTGTATCCTTTCCTTCCAACGACTTCGGGAGCCATATATGCCATGCTACCAGCGACACTAGTGTGCAACCGACGCTCCGAATAATGGATGGCAACATTGAAGTCGGTGATATGTGCATGACCCTTTGCATCAAGTACGATATTATCTGGTTTAAGGTCACTGCGGCTCTAGTTAATGATCAAGATATTCCGCCGCAGGAAAATCTTACCGATGAATAATGCGCTGCTTGTGCAAATAAACGAGAGCTGAAGCCAGCTCTGCAACCCAAAATTGGACTACGTCCTCACTGAAGCATCCTCTGCTTTCCAAATGGACTCATTGCGGTACACGATCTTAGAACACGCCAATAGAACAAGGCTGCGATTGACTCACATCGGAGGTCTCCACCCAGCATGAGGTCGAGCACAAAGAAACAGTTTTCGTCATCCTGGAATGCATATCGCAAGTTGACAATGAAAGGGTGGTCGATCTATAAAAAAAGGTAGTTTGAGACTTGAACATGCAAGCAGCAAAGGTATCACGCGCCTCCTCGAGTAGTCTACGTTCTTGTATGATGTTCGCCACGGCCTTTTGCTTGATACATCGCGCTTTA